TATATAATGCTTAGTACACCTTTCCAACAAGAAAATAGATCCTGGGTAAAGGCAGGAGAAGGATTGGGAGCGATACAAATTATTCTGGGCAAAATCACAATCAAATTACTAGTTGCCTATTCATGGAGTAACATGCATTGCTGACAGTCCTACATAGAGGACTGCAAGATTTCTGACAACGAGGAAGGACCAAAGCATGCTGGAGGTGAAAGCATAAACAGCATAAACGCTGAGTTTTACCCTTCATGCTGAGAAATCTGCCCTGCTTTCCTTCCCACCCCCTGCCAACACAACTATTACTCTCCCTATTGGTTCTGAAGCAAACCCTGGAGCCCTGTACACAAGCTTGATTTGACCAAATTCAATTGCCTGCTCTAAGTGTGCCATTATTATATTCATGTACCATACAGTTCTGTTTAGAGTTCACACAGAGCATGTGCCGCTTACCTGCAGGAAAAAACAAACAAACAAACAAACCACAAATCCAAAAAACCACAACACACCACCCTTCTTTCTTTCCCTCGCTACGTTTTTACGCACGCAACAAGAGACTATTCGTGAGTCGTATTAGTCATGGCTCCAATCAAGCTGATATAATTTCAGAATACAATGGGGAGCCTAATGAACTCTAAAGAGCTTGATAGGGTGCATATCGGAACAGCAAAGGGAGGTACAGTATTTGAAATATTACAACACATTAACGTGCCTCACTACGGAGATAAACATTGGCCCAAGCCGCAATACTCTGCCACTCATTTCCAGTATTTTGTTTTTGATACCAGCTGGGCATCCTCCCAAGAAAACTGGAATCTTCTTCCTTGGAATGGACAGATTTCAACGGAACATTATGCAAACACTGATAGCTTCCCTCTATGATCTTTATCTAGTTACAAAACTGCACGTTAAGGATAAGAGGCAATTGCTCTGACACAGAATTTAAGTGTAAAATAAAGAATCAACACTACTGCTTTAAAATGTTTGGTAATAGGGTAAAAAAAAAAGGTGTTTTAAGCCAAAAGAAGCTTTTCTAACAGAGACATAGCAGGCTTTCCATCTCAAAGAGTATAAGCACTTGTTTCTGATTAAAGCAAACGCCAATAATTCCACACACCTATTTGATTGCAAAGGAACTTCCTATTTAGGGGCTGAAGAAAATTAATTGCTTATACACACAACAAAAAACCTCCCATTAAAAAAAACAAAAAACAAAACCACTCCACAACAAAAAGCCCTATAAATTCAAGATACAGATAACTGAAGGAAAAAAATGATTAAAAAGAAACCACCATTGTCAAACTGATCAATATTTACTTTCTGAAGACTTTTCCCAATATATTAAAACATTAAAAAAAATTATTAATTTTGCAGTGTACTTATTCTTTGAAAAGAGACTTTACACAGCAGTTTTGTTATATATCAAACTATCTTGCAGAAATCATAATAAAGGCAGTTGACTGGATTCCTGAAAACTCAGTGGGAGATGCAAAACTAAGTCTTGCTCACACCTTGCAACCAGTAGTTCACAGGAACTAATCACAGGAGTTTAGCTAACTTTGCTGATTAACCCCCCCCTGAAGCAGTATGACTCAAAATACCTAGAAGGTAAAAGCACACCTTCTCCGAAGTCAATAGGAACTGTTACTAGCTGCACGGGGCTAGGATTTCACCATGTATGAAAAGGGCAGTGAAGCGAATATTCACAACTAGAATAAGGCTTATTCTAGTAAACCAAAACATTCGTGGTTAGGAAAAACTGAAGCAGATTTCATACCTACGTTAGAAATATGTTTCTGTTTGTCAGCTCATGGTTTTAAGTACAACTCTACAACTTTCTGGGAAATGAATGATGCAATCAACACTTCCAATAGAGAAAGGGCTAGACAGCATGTGATTTAACAGTAATAAAAAACTTGAAGCAAACAATTTAGCTAATACATACCAGTGAAAAGGACACAGATTTTTACTGAAAACAAGAGGGAATGCAAGACAGACAAGCAGTTAAACTCAGTATACTCCCACTAACATCTTACAAGTAAATACAGTTTTGTAAGAACTCTGGATCTCGAGTTGTTCTGCAAAACATGAAGAAGCTTTGCTGGAAAACCTAAATTGCTCCTAAATGGAATTATTCTCAATCTCCTTCCCCAAAAGGAAATAAATCCTTAAAGACCCCCCTGTCTTTGCTGTGTGAACGTGGAAGTTCGTAGAGAAAAGTCACAACTAGTTTTAACACAGGCAGGCTGCCACTCTTACATACTCTCAATAGAGACGGGCTCTCCCTGAAAGCAAATCAGAGCTGGAGCTCAGCTTTAGCTGCATCCTCTGTTCTTGCAAACTAACTTAAAGAGAAAGCCCGAGAGATCTAACATTCCTAGATTAGATTTTTTTCTTCTATGCTTTTTCCTGCCAGGCAGGAAACGAACAGATACCTTTCTGAATCAAGGGGGAGCTACTGCAGTCTTTCACAGCAGAAGTGGTTTCATGGTAAAACAGTCCCATTTAGTTTTCACTTGCATCTTTTGAAAGAGCTCTGCAAATTAAAACTAAAAATCCTAAGTCGGAGGACTGAAAAGTATTTCTGTACATTTAGAATTGCTACCGATTCAAATTAAAGACAATATACAGCATGACACAGAAAGAGTCTGACAGAAAAACACTTGGACAAATGCCAACTTAGGTCTCCTCTTTATGAAGTTAGTGACCATTTGACACTCAACTGTTGCTTTTCAAGAGAGATTTAGTAGTACGCCCTGATGCATTTGCTTCTCACCTGTACCAAAAGGCTCATTCTTTGAGTTTAAATCTCTCTCTGAAAGAATTGGTGTTTTGAAATATATGGAGGGATTTTCTACCTTTTTGGAATGCCAATAAATACACGTGGTACACATGATGAGTCTGTGTTAGAAAGATTGCTAAACTGATCTTTAAAAATCAGAGGAAACGGGAGAAGATTTTGCACCTATGCACATAGGATAGGAATAACAAGCTTTTACATCACACCTGAAGACTTTATGGGCTAGGAAATAATTACTATGTTCTATTTATAGTGTCCTTTTCCCGAATGACATATTAACTTTATTCTTTCTTTAGAACACTCACCAAGAGTGCTGGTTTTCCTGACACTTTGCATAGTATCTATTTTTTAGCAGGATAAACCCTATATTTAAGATTAGTTCTATCTAATTATTTTAGCAACTATTTATCAGATGCTCAGGCATAGAGGCAAAGAATGTACTGATTACATAGACATATATAGAATCATCTGTCCTGGGAAGATAAGAACCAACACTGAACTAATTCCAAACATTCAATTATTGCTTGTCTAATTTGAGAAAGTGTCAAGTACTATAAGTTTGTACAAAATATATTTTTTAAATAAAAAAGTGAAGATCTTGAATACAGATTAATTCAATATAGGAGGACTGTTGAGTTATTCTGCAATAATAGTTTTTCTTACATTATTGACTGTTTTTTCCTCTTCAGTGTGTTCGAGGGGCTGCCAACTTCGCTAATGCCTGGCTTAAGAGAGTCCTATTAGCAGTGACTTACCTTCAAACAAAGATATTAAATTCAAATTAAGAAGTTGCATTTATAATGAAAACTCAGCATATTCTATGAAATATTCAAAATTCTTTATTTCAGGCCAGTATAGTATTGTTACAGGCACGCATCTCTTCCTCCGCACTTGCCCATGATCAAAGTTGGCACTCCCAACCACCAAGAAAGTTAAATGGTTATTACAGTACAGGCACAAAGTAGCCAAACAGCTTTACTGTCATTAAGCAAAGCCATGATTGTGCTCTAACAGCATTTATTACCAGTGCATAGATTGTTCTCTCTTCCTAAGAGCAAGCAAGAAAGGGAAATTTCCCTTAACTGAAGGAAGACAGATGGCAGCTCTGCCACTAAAGCAGCCATTTCATCAGTGGAAGAACGACAGATATCTGGATACACTGGATGCCTTCCTTCATTGCTTTCACTTGCACTTACTAGTTTACACAGGCTTGCTTAGAACTGGATTAAACATCCTTGCAGGTTTCCGTTACTGCTTTCATTATTATAAGCACTATCAAAGTTTGACATTTGAAGAACCAACAAGATTTATTTTTTTTAAAGTAAACCAACAAAAATCCCAGAAGACTGTCAGTATTGCAGTTCCCTCACCTAAGGCACTGCTTCATAACCACCATTTAAAATCTCTTTCCGTTCTAGAAGCATCAATTCCCTTCCATCAAGAAGGCAGCACCAGAGACACTTCGTATCACTTAACTGTAAATTAACACAACTAGTGTACTTTACTGCATTTCAAACTTCCAGTTACAGTGGTAAAGTTAGCAATTAGCATATGGAATGAGTATCAGATACTTATATGTACCAAAGGCAAGTTAGTCACAAAAACCTCTACAAATGTATTACAAACAAAACTAGCAGCAAACACTGCTATCATTACACAGTACTCTTTCATGAAACATGACTGATTGGACGGCCATCTGGAAAACAAGCTAACTGTAATGTTACAAAAATAGCAAAACAAATATTTGATCATAGTAACTGTATGAACAAGTGTTAGAAGGAAGGAATTAAGCATGATTCAGTTAATGCAACTTCTACTTATACAAGAGTGCCTCCAAGCCACAAAACACGTAGTTTCAGTTTTACATTAATAACCAAGACTTCAGTCTGATACATGCAACTGACTCCGGCAAGCATGCCTGAATAGGCAATGGAACATAATTCCACAGATTCTTCTCTACAGCGTGCAGCCCCGCACCATTGGTACGAACGCCAGTCTTTGCTTACATGACACTTCGTAGCAGCAAGGTGTACTGCAGTTCAGAATGGAGGGAAAAGGCAGAAATGCGTGTATCATGCTTTCATCAGAGGTAAGTTTCGGAATATGCATGATATGTGTACAGTTTGTTTCTAGGCACATCTTTGGTTACATTCTCAATACAGTCCGCTTTACAAAAAAAATAAATAAAACAGTCAAGACTTGGTTAAAGTCCAGGCAAAGGTAAAATTTCTTTTTTTTTGTTTTTTCAGAAACCAAGACGGTAGAAGTCCCTTTAAATGGATGTTTTATTATATCCATAAACGATAAAATCCCAGTGCTACAGTAAGGCATGTAAATACTGAACCTGAAAGAAAATAAAAATGGGGAGGAAAATGGAGACAATAAATCATTAGCTCTCAGAACATTTCTTCAGAAAGCTATGTACAAATCTTACTACAATACTAGAAGTGTAACCACCACCCCTTCCCCATGTAACAAAATAAGGTTTTTAATTTACAACAAACAATTTCAAGGTGGAAGAGCACAAAAATGACAAATAAGAAGGAAGGAAAAAAAGAATGCAGGAAAGCTGGGCTGGAAAACTATCAAAAGGCTGAAAAGAAACCCTTAGTTGCTTACCATTCCAAAAAAGATCAATATGGCAAGTTACAGTTGTAAAGTGAGGAAATGAATAACAGCATTATTAAATCACAGTCAAGTATTCAGCAAACAAATAAATGAAAGCTATCTTTAACGAGGCTTATCAGTTTGCAATTTTTAAAATTTCTATTTAAATGAAATCAACTTTTGGTTTCTACATATACACACAAAAGATTTCACTTCAAACACAATGCAAATTTTTTTTTTTTTCCCATGCAGAGTTCAACATGTTTTTGAGTAGGGTTGGTGGGGGAAAGAATTTCCTCTCATTTTAATAAACTGCCTCTTATTTTCCAGTAACAGTTCTCTCTGAAGGATATGCCTGAAGTACAGTACTATGAACAGACGTGATTGTACTTGTGACAAAATCGATTGTGAAAGAATAATCAGAAAATCTAAATCAGAAGAATAATTTTCTACTGCAAACCTGCTTATTTAATAGCACTTCACACTCAGTAGAAAAATGTCAAAATATTAGTTACCTAGGGCAGTAAGTAGGTGCACACACACACACACATATAGTATTTTTCTAATACACGTGCCTGAAAAATGTAAGTTTAAAGAATATGTGGCGCTCAACAGTCAGAAAAGCTAAAATGTTCCATTTTGCTTATAGCCCTCCATCAGACAGATGAAGAAATCCTAGAAATGCATGCAGCAGGCTGCTTTTATAAATTAAGTCAGGCACAGAAGAACTTTTTGGCCCTTGTTAACAAGCAGTCTTTTAGATTTCTCATACACATTATTATTACAGTATAAAGCAGGGGAAAAAACAAAAAGTCATACAGCCATAGCCCATGCAAAATACAGTTGCGAATCACAGGAAACTTTATCTGGGTTAAGTACACAAATAAGGCTGCTAATCTTGACCGAGACTATTTCAAGTACGTTTTTTAATCAGGCCCTTTATGCATACAGTCAATTGAGAGTTTGCCAAACATTTAACAATGTTTAATAGTTTCACCATCAGAGACAACCATCAGATTCCTTACCTGCTAAGTACTTAATATTATCAAGTTTGTGGGATTCGAGCATTGTTTTCAGATCTGCAACTTCTGTGTCTATTTTTCTGTCTGTTTGGGTCAGAGCTCGATCTTGTTGTGCATGCTAAAAAAACAAAGCAACAAAACGATGGAATTTGAACAGTTTCTAGTTTATTTAGAAATTTAACCCATCCCTGCAAGTTGTATTTTTGGTTAGGGCCACAAAAATGATCAGAGGGATGGAGCACCTCTCTTATGAGGAAAGGCCGGAAGAGCTGGGACTGTTCGGCCTGGAGAAGAGAAGGCTGCGGGGAGACCTTATTGCAGCCTTGCAGTACTTAAAGGGGGCTTATAAGAAAGATGGGGACAGACTTTTTAGCAGGGCCAATAGCGACAGGGCAAGGGGTAATGGTTTTAAACTAAAAGAGGGTAGATTCAGACTGGATAATAAGGAAGACATTTTTTACAATGAGGGTGGTGAAACACTGGAACGGATTGCACAGAGCGGTGCTAGATGCCCCATCCTTGGAAGGATGGGGCTCTGAGCAACCTGATCTGGTTGTAGATGTCCCTGCCAATTGCAGGGGGGATGGACTAGATGGCCTTTAAAGGTCCCTTCCATCCCAAAGCATTCTATGATTCTACGATTCCTCCTGAAATGTATGTTAATTTGAGCAAGTTCCTTCCTAGCTGATTATATCCAAGGAATTGAATAATTTGGTGAACTCAGGAAATTTATATGATTACATGTTCCTTAACACACAATCTAGAAAGTGGCAGAACTGGATGCCTTCTTATCTCAATCTAGGAGAGTAAACATTAACTTCAATCTGTCGTTTGGCCTACCGACATTAAATGCACTGCTCAGTTATAAGAGTTGTTGAGAAGTCTAAGAGCCTTTTGTGACAAAAAAACATACTGGAGCATAAAGATTTATGGATCATTAGAAAAACTGAGAATTCGTCTTCTGATGTAAACAAGCATGTCTTCATCTTGTAATGAATTCTACCACAAAAACAGCTACAAATTCAGAATCTGATTATGACAGAAGACAGAACTTCTGTAAAAAAAATGGGATAGAATTATTACTCAGAAAAGACTGAAAGATCAAACTTGTAAACTGAGAACAACAGCTGCTGAGTTGCTGATATTTTCAAATCAGCGCTACTGAAACATTGTGAATCAGTTAATGATTTACTGCTACACATCTTCCTAGGGATAATTCCCTATACTACAGAAAAGAAACAAAAGGAGGAGGAAGTGCTTGGTAAAAACCTCCTCTAAAGTGAAGCCAAATCAATCTAACAATGCGTTTCAGTCTTACTGAACGTGAGGGGGGGGGAAATTAATTTCACAAACTAACATTAAGAGTAGAATTCTGTCTAGAGAAAATACTACATGTGTGAAGTTTCAAAACAAAGTGACCACAGTGTATATATACATGCAGAGGGTCTAATAATATATATATGAAAGCCTTTTTATTCTGTAGGCACTTCAGTTATCTGCACCAATATGAAAATACACAGGGAAATAATACAGCACAATAACATTTTGTACATTAAAGAGCCTAAAGACATGAACAACTCCAAAAAGAACACAAGGTCTATAACACAAGTACAAAAAGATTTGCTGTGTAATAAGCAGCTACCAAGTTCTTACCAATTCCACTATTTCTGTTCTCATTTCAAGTAGTTTTCTTTCATTAAGTGAGTACTAGAGGGGAGAAAGAAGAAAAATAAAAAAAGATAAATGTGATATTGTCATTGAACTTTTTCCCCCACACTTAAAAGCATACTTGTTTGTTTCCAAATTCTGTAGAACACTGAATCTGGACAAGATTATTGCCTGACAACACTTGGGAGACAGTATTGTATGACAATTGCTGCTCTTCTGAAAAGCACAATTTAGACAGGCGTTCATCCACACCTCTGAACTGTAAAGCGCAACAAGTCCATTAGACACATCTTCTGCAAAAACTGTATATATTAATAGGCAGCTGGAAGAAAGGTTGGCAGATTTGCATTTCTGAAAAACAGAGACCTATGATTCTAAACAGTAACTCTGGAAGAGTTAACTAATCCATTGAGCATACAAGCACAATTAAGACTGAACCATCTACTGTTTTCAGGAAGGGGAGTACAGTTTAAAAAAAAAAAATCATATCAAACTCAGCTATCAGAGAAATGTTTAGCCAGCACTGCACGTGCTCACCATTTGTCTTGTTCTGACCACCATTTCATGATATATTTGCTAAATATAGAACATTTGTATCTCACACTAAGCCATTGATTTGTGGAACATCAGAAGTTGTGGCTTATTTTTAAGTTATAGCTCTTTGGGTTCAAGGAAAGTTAAATCCCAATTAAAGCAGCATACCTTTAAGGCAGGTTACCTTTCCGACTCATGAACAGGCGTGATTTACCTTGACATCTATAATGGTTCCTGTCCCACTACTGGAGCAATTCAATTATTCACAGACAGCTGCTGAACAGTCTATAGTGCAGAGTATTAAGGTCATCAGGCACCCATCTCAGAATCCTCAGTTACACAGCAATAACCTCATCTGTTGACATTCCCATGTGGAAAGTTGCTTTATTTTGCCTCCACTCTGGAAGCTTATTCCACTTCAATATTAAACTCAGATTAATCTACATAAATGCCTCAGCACTGAAAAACCCTCCTTAAAGATCTAGAGCGCTGTCTGGACTTTTGACTGATTTAAAGATGAAGTGAAGAGATAACAGGCTGCTACAAATGTGGAAAAATGACATAACAAATGACAGCATATCTACAATTAATGAAACAGTTACTAGATGCTGCAAAATGAAGAGAGGGACAAAAAAAAGAAATTCAGACATTTTATATAAGTATTCATTTTTCAAAGTGGTAAGATGGCAGAATATTTATAAAAGAATCTAATTAAAATTATGTTTGAGGTGAAATTTCACATAAGAACTAGACCTCACATTAATAAACTGATCATCACTATCAGAAGAACCATGAAATTTAAAATAAACAATTTTATGGATTGAAATAGTTCATCTGTTTTACTTTAAACAGATGCTGTTAGCCAAATACACATTTTCTGAATAATTTCAATTCTACAAGCTTCTTTCTTGTTGTTTGTATTTGTTAAAGTTTTGCTTTGTGGCTAGAACTCTCTAGGTCAGACCCAAGGATTTTAAACTTAGGTTTAAGACAGTGAAATACACCCTTTTACTGCAAGGCATCACCACACATCTGTAATAACACCAGTGCACAAATAAAAGGAGCAAAGACAAGGTTAAACTCCCTCCCTGAAATTCATTGAGGAGATTTCCCCTTAAGTCCATGTTTTTTACAGGGCAGAGAAAATGCAGTTTTGTCAGATGCGTCTTGAGATTTTTAACAGCAAGCTTAGAGGCACTGTGATGCATGAACACATGAATATACACAGAATTTTGTACCGTACTTCGAGTTTTTAAATCACATCTGTCTCACTGCAGATATAAATCACAGCATAAACACATGTGCATTATGCAATGTAGGATTCTCCCAGAAATGTGAAGTGGAATGAACTAATTAAAAGATGAAGCATTTAGAGTTTGAAACATTGAAGGCTGCCCACGTCAGTGTTGACAAATTAAGATATTCTTCTTCAGTACTTATTCCAAGCAAAACTGAAGGATAAGAACATTTTACCTAGTGCTTCAAGTTAAACCAATTTAAACTTAGGACATTTTTCTTCTGAGTAGTAACTTATTAAGAATGCACAGTAACCTCCAATTATCCTGAGTTTTATTCTCAGAAAGCTAGATATTCACTCCTAAGTCACATTACAAGCCACGTAAATATGATAATAATGCTCTGCCTACTATAGAAAATAGTGGATTATGTCCCACCCCCAGCTCAGCATATATGCTACAACCTGCTCCCCATTCATCTGCCTTTCTTCTTTTCTGTTCATGCATGGCAGAGCTGACAATTAAAGTGGAGGAGTGGGGGGAGGAAAAAAAGAAAAGAGCAGTTTTCATTGAAACCATGAAATTATAGTTGCACAACAGAACACAAAGTTGGTCAACTTTCTTAAGAAAAAGTTGACATGCACAGTTTGCTTTTCCTGGGAGGCAGTCAAAATAATGTAGTGTTCTGAGCAACAGACAGAGTCCAGATTCCAGGATCCTACATAAATATACAAGAAAACACTAGTGCCTCATTTATCACTGGTGAAGTGGTTTTAAATAGGTTTTGTAAGCCCAAAGTATTGCAAAGCTTACGATCTACAGAGTTAATACATTGCATATCATGCTTTTTTAAAACATTAGCATAAAATATTAACCTTTAAACAAGAATTCTACCTGCTCAAATTGTACTTTATTCAAGCATGTACCATGGGATAATAGACTGCTAGTCATTATACCAAATCACTGACACAGCCGTTACCTAAACTAATCATTGTGAAAAACTTGAAGGGGCACACACAAAAGATAAGTCATATCTACTTGAACAGTTCTTATTGTCTAGATTGAAGATACATATTAAGTCTTCACTATAAACCTGTGAAAAAGGACTGAATAAGAAATAAAATTAACAGAAAAATGTCATTAAAAGATCTTTCTATTTAGAAGATGCAATTTCTTTGAGATCCTAAAAGCTATTAAAAAAAGATCTACAGGAACAGAATTCCATTTGGAGTGCGTATGTAGCAAAATGCAAAAACTTGTTATTCTTCTAATTCTTCATCTACATTATTCTAATTTAAAATCACATCAATTCAGTTCTACCAGATATTTCAAAGTTCAAAACAATCTGAACCAGTACCAGTTACAATTTAAAAAAAAAAAAAAATTACAACTATTTTCACAATAGGTATTTCCTGACAAACTAGCTACACTATAAATTCACTAACTATAGGGAAATAAAACATGTTCAATGATGATAAATTTAATGAAATGTGTAAACTGAATTAAGTGTGAAAATAGAGAAAGAGATATAGTAATAACATAGAAAACCTCTAGGCAGCTAGTCAGCATATTTAGATTAAATATCTAATATATTTCAGTGTAATGTGTTAATCCTGATATTAAAACAATATCAAAATAGACAGACATACAAAACCAAACATGGCACCTTGTACTATAGCAGCATAAGGATGAGTAACTTGGATTAGTATCATTCAGCTTCAAGATGGTATTATAGATTAGTATGAAAACGCTCTTTGGGCAAGATGCTCTTACCCAAATTTGGAGATTACTCACCATTTAGATGTTTCTAGAAGAAAGTAACCAAAACTTACCAATTCTTTTACTCTGCTCTTCTCTAGGTTTAAGTTTAATTTATTATCTGCACGAACTTTGGTAATTTCATCCTAAGGGGAAAAAATTGATAAAGCAGCAAGCAAGATTTTCTATTTAATCATAAGCAGAAAAAAACCCCCAAATATATTGTGCCTTTCTTTACATATCTCAGGAATCAAGCTTCTCTCCAATTAACGTACTGAATTTTCAAAAGTATAAGTATTCCTATTCTTCCCCCAGGAACTAGTCATGTTCTATAGTATGAATTGGATATCAGAGTCAAAAAAGAACAATTGCTTTTAAAAGCAGAGCACTGAGAACAGCAGTTAATTGAGAGCACATCCTTCTATAAATGCTGGGAATGTTTCATATATCCCATAACTCTCTCTGATTTCTAGAAATCCATGCCGAGGTATATGTGTAAGTTGGACTTCCTCCATGAACCAATCTTGAGGCTCAAAATAACTTTAAAAGCAGTTTCAAACTTTCTAATGTAAAAGAAAATCTGTTTCTAAAGACTACATCTAGGGCTTTCAGAAAAAGCTACAGACATTTTAGAAGTCAGGAAACGTTTATTATATTTTTAAACATGTAACTTTTTAAAACTACCATAAGTTGTACACTTGCATTTTACTTCATCAATAGCTGCAAGTGATTCCTGCTTTTCTCAGTGACAGCTGCCATTTTAACGCAACCTCTTGGCAGGAATTCCAGCCAGCTGACAGTTTGTCATGAGGCAAACTGCTGATCAGATGAACGTGTGGGAGAAGCAAAGGACTGCTGATGTTCTGGGAGATTCTACTATTAAAAACAAGCAAGCGTCTCTCAAGTAGGCCAATGTCAACTAGTCAAGAGTTCATTAAGTTAGTATGAACAATAACTAGACTCAATTTCTATGTTTGAATTTTTGAACTTTAACTGGTTTATAATTAGATGTCATTACAACATGATACATTACAGTTTAATGAATCAAAAAATTAGAAATTAATTTTTCTTAAACTTGCACAACATTGCATCTTCTTGTCTTTTAGAGGAACAAGTACGACCAAACATAATTCTCACAAGAGCAAGTTATTTTATATTTACAGTTAAAAGTAAAATTTAAAGACATCTAGCTTTTAAGAAAAGATGATTCAGATCCTTGATGCTCTACCACTAACTCATTTTTATGCAAGTAAAACCATAAAATAAGTTACAATTCAAAAATTAGATGCCAAATGTATTTTAAAATGGTATTCTGAAAACCCAGATGCATTAAGCATCTCATAACACAATATAAAACATGCAGGATTAGCCTTGAGAAATTTATGTTCTCCTTTTGGAGATGGCAGTGCAAAAAGAAATTGAAGAGAATAGGAAAGAAATGGCACGGAGGCACTAGGCTGAGTTTGACCACATTGTCAGCTAGCTCACCAAGTCCAATATACTGCCAGTTTCATGGACAAATCCTAGGGAAAGGAGAATGCTCCGTCCTTCCAGCTAAGAAGGACATCATAGCAGGAAACAGCAGTTCTCAAGTCAGATGACCATACTCCCTAAAAACAGTCAATGTTTCCCAGTTTCCAATCTTAATCACTCTTGCAAGAATGTTTGTTTCTCTGTAAAGGCTGCTTAAGACTCCACACCCATTGAAATAATAGATTTTAAGACAATCTTGGTTTTGATGGTAGAAGGGTGTTTGGAATGCTATTCAAGACAAGCAAACCATGAAGAACAGAAACACAGCACTGGTAAGAATAAACCTGATAAGAGTAAGAATCTGTATGATGATTAACACACAGTAAGTTTTCTCCAGAGAGAAAATGACCTTGCAAAGGTCATTTGCTCCCAAACAAATGGGATCAAACATAATGGTCCCAAACTTAGTGGCCTAAAGAAGCCATTTAAAAGCTATTTTAAATTCTGGACAGCTAACAGATACGTCTTCAGACAAAGAAATCCCCAACCAACCAACCAAAAAACCTCCAACAAAAACACCCCAAACCAATTAGAAAATGTTGTAATTTTAAAAGTATGTTGCATCTTTATATGTAAAAGGCAGCCCTAAATGCAGAACTTCACTCAGCCTTAACCATGACATGGCAGTTAGCCACTTTCTGAATCTAAATTAAGGACACATAAGTAAAAAAAAAAATCTTCAGTTAAATTTTTCTTCACTTCTTGTACCATTCACAGTTCTCTGTCACCATAAATGAAGTATGCATGAAATTGTTTTTGCTGCAGCCCAGTGTACTATCAACTGCAATTTCAGTATCCTATATATCACAACAATTAAGCACAGCTTTTAAAATAAAATCTTGAAAGCAACAATTATTTTTTATTTAAAGCAAACTAGAGAGGTGTTAATTCTTAATTATATCCAAAATACATTATATATTATCTTACCATGACTTGCTTCTTTATCTGCTGGAGTTCAAGTTTTATTTTCTGGGACATTAGAAAAAAAATGTACACTTTATTACTGTATATAAACACATAATCTAGAAATACTAATGAATTTGCTTGATCAGTAGCAATGACTATAATCCATAATGTGAAAAGGAAGGCAAAATGAGTGTGGTTTAACTCTATGTCCTCAGTATGCGTATAGATATATGCATGTGTACACACACGCATGTTTACCGATTGCTGTGCATTGCCAAACAACAGCACAAGACAGAAGCTTGCAATGTCCCACAGCAGTAAAAGTGGCCTGATGCATAGGATGGTATGAGCAAGAGTAAACCCAGCAAACCAAGGGAAGTGATTATTTCCCCATCCTTAGCACTTGTGAGCCTGCACTAGAAGTGCTGCATCCAGCTTTAGGCTCCCTGGTGAAAGACTGATGTTGACATACTGGAGCGAGGCCAGTGGAGGGCCATGAAGATGATGGGGGGCTGGAGCACACTATGTTGGGGGCAGGGGGAGTGAGGAGGTGAGAGAGCTGGGTTTGTTCAGCTTTAGGAAGAGATGGCTAAATGGCAATCATACTGCAACCTGCAACTACCTAATGTTCTCTAGAGGTCTTTTCTAACTCAAATTACTTCACATTACTTTAGTTCTTTCAAAAGTTACATGAAATAGGTATAGCTGTAGCATCTTCTATTAACTCTCTCTGGAGATCATCCAGTCCAATCCCCTGCTCAAAGAAGGGGCAACTAGAGCAGGTTGCTCAGGGCCATGTCCAGTTGGGCTTTGAATATCTCCACGATAGGAACTCCACAGCCTCTCTGGGTATCCTACTCCAGTGTTCTACCACCCTTACAGTAAAAAGGGTTTTCTTATGTCTAAACAGAATTTCCCGCATTTTGGTCTCTTCCAATTACCTACTGTTCCGTCACCAGACAACACCAGGAAGAGCCTGTCTCTGTCTTCTTTATACCCTCCCTTCAAATATTTGTATGCATTGATAAGATCCCCACTGAGCCTTCTCTTCTCCAGGCCAAACAGTCCCAGCTCTCGCAGTCTTTCCTCATGTCCGATGCTCCAGTCCCTCACTGTTCTTCATGGCGGTTTGTTGGTTTCTATCCAGCATGTCCACATCTCCCTTGCACCGGGGAGCCCAGAACTGCACCCAGCACTCCAGATGAAGCCTCACCAGTGCCAGGCAGAGAGGAAGGATCACCTCTCTTGACCCACTGGCAGCCCACCTAATGCAGCCCAGGCAGGTGTTGGCTGCCTTTGCCACAAGGGCTCATCGCTGGCTCGTGGTCAGCTTGGTGTTCACCAGGACCCTCAGGACCTCTTCTGCATAGCTGCTTTCCAGCTGGTCAGCCCCAGCCTGTCCTGGTGCATGGGGTTATTCCTCCCCAGGGGCAGGACTTGGCATTTCCATTTGTTCAGCTTCATAAGATTCCTGTCATCCCATTTCCCCAGCTTACTGATGTCCCTCTGAATGGCAGCACAACTGTCTCGTATATCAGCCGCCTCTCCCAGCTTCATATAACCTGCAGACTTGCTGAGGGTGCCCTCTGCCCCACCAACAAGGTCATTAATGAAGGTGTTAAACCATACTGGCCCCAGAGCCAACCCCTTGGGTACAAGACGCTTTTTTACATCATTAGAAAAAATAAGCAAGTGCTAGAATAGCACTTTCCAAGATAGTAATTTTTACCTCATTTTCTGAACGAAGTGCTGAAAATTCACTTTTTTCCAAAATAATCATGTCCTTTTTCACACCACCAATATGGGACATTACTTGCTGAAGTGCAATTTCCTTTAAAAGAAGGAAAAAAACCCCCTCAAAACATATCATAACTATGATGCTTTTTCTCATCTGTGCCTACAAGTATGATAGGCTATTTTGGTACCCTTAAATTTTTAATTCAGCAATTTCAGATTGATTATCTGAGTTTCAGAAAGCAAGATAAATTAAGTGACAGTGACAGAATAAGCAAGTTAGGCTCAAACGTTGGTAATGTTTGACAAAATTAGCAGTGCTAACACAGATCAGAATAATTCAATTAATAGCCTAGGCAACAGTTTCTTCCAAGTCTTCAAACTCTTAAGCTTGCAAAGGCATTAGGGAGAGAAGATGAGTCTCTTAACTAAATGAGGAAAGCTGGCCCTCAGACCAAAACTTCTCAGTGCAACCATACTCTTGTAATTACCTCCTTTTTTACCTCCCCCTGCAAAGGGGCTCGCTCTTCTTCACTACTCAGAATCATGCACTATACATAGACTTTTAATTGCTCTTCTCAGTCTGTTATATTGAGCTGACAGAAGACAAACAAGAATTCTCTGCAACTTTCAAGGATGGAAAAGTCTGTAGACTTTGTTCTAGATCCTAATGGTAATAGCTACATTCACAACTTTCCAAATCCTCTTCCAACTCGTCACTGTCTTCTTACATAAGCTCTTATGCATTCAAAACCTATAAGGAACTACAGGTTCTATCATGTTACCCAGAGTTCATGGCACAAACACCTCCTGAGCTGCTTCCATACAAACCTGCACATTTCAATCTTAATGGCAGAAAGTCACCTGAGGGTGGAATCTACCAGACAGTCTCAGAAAACATCTACCATCAGAACCAACAAAGAAAAACCTGTCTACTTTCATTCAAAAAAAGCTGGGCATAGAAGGAGGCAGAGATACAATGACTGTTTATTGTAAAATATAACCAATCATGGGAGAAAAGGTCCCTTTAACATTGCATTCTCTGATTGACTGTGGAACAAGTTCAGCACAGGGGGAGGAAGCTCACCCATGTCTGCTTTGCCTGGAATCCAGGAGGTAGGAAAGATGAGCTGAAGCCTCCCTAGATGGAACGTGGTGCAAAATCCAGGTATTCAGCTTCTTAATGTCTTGGCCCTACTGCCAAGACTATTACACTACGGAGACAGCAGCTGCTGTTTTCTCACATTTTAAGACAGTAGCCTTATTACTATGAAATAAGTTAAAGCCTGTGTTCAGAAGGTGACTTGGGGCCCTGAACCCCAGCCTCACAGAGCAGCCCAAGAGGTTGTACTTCAGCTATGCTTCTTGTCAGCATTGTCTATTTGACTAGCTTACGTGTCAGGGAATTCCAGCATACCAGATATTGTGAATCCCATTCAAAGATGCCCAAGTTCCACATGCAGTGAATCGTCTTACTCTGAATTTCAGTTTCATTTCTGGAGCCAGATGCCTAAGAGCTCAATGTAGCAGTATTCAACACTGTCATGTCCAATTCCTTAGATGGATCTATCTTTGTATGACCTGACAAAGGCCCCCCAAAAAATCACAGCCAGTATTAGAACAAGAAGCTTTGCCTCTAGACACAATTATTCATTAAAACAACCATTCCCTCACAAGTCAAAGCTAACAATTCCGCTCAGCTGTACGCAATTTCCTGGTAGCCAGGAAGGACCTCTGTAGCTACTCAGCATTATCAGTCCATTTCCAAGCAAGCTTTCTTCACTTCCTCACACCAAGATGTATATGCTGGGTAGGTTTAGAGGATACCATGAACAATGTATGCACCAAAGGAAAAGTGGACAGATTTCAATATCAGCATCCAAACTATACGTGTTTCTATATGTTACCAGTGTGTACAACCACACCAGTCATGCCCTAAAAACATCACACAAAAAAAGAAATTCAGCTCAATTCTAATCCAATATAAATGCCATTGTGACACAAAGAGATAAATAAAAAGGTACCAGATAACAGGGTGGTAAATCACTGAGGGAATCTGTACTTCCTTGTTACAAGTCTACAAAAGAATATAAGTAGGAGCTGTAACTATTCAAATCCACGCGTTGAATACCTCCTATGTCTGTCTAAAAGCCTTCTGAGCAATTCTATTTCATGCTACAATAAGGCTGAAACCAAAAAACTACCTGTGGTTTGCATACCAACTCACAGTACCTAAATCTCAAGGTCCACCATAACACTGATAGGTATTTGATAAACTCAAGACAAAAGTCACTAGCCAATAAATACATAGGCATGTTTGTTCTTCACCTTCAAACTTTTAAAATACAGTGCCTAATGGTAACAAATAGCAACATATATTTCATTAGCAGGCATACCAGATTTTGATTAATTCAACCCCACCATTGTCTTTGAGCTAACCTGCTGTACTTTGGTGACCATGTCCTTGTAAATCATATCCAGGTTGGTGTTCATAATTTTCACTAACGCAGATACAATGACCTCCGACTGCTGAGTAGTGAATCCTAAGCAAAACAAAATGCAACAACATTCAGAAAGAGACCTAAATCTGGACAGTTTACAGAAATGCCACTTGCTAATACTCAGCACTACGCTAAAACGAATGTCAGTTATGAAAGATAATAAAACATACTCCTCTTGATCCAGCACTAACAAAAGAACACAACCAGCCAGTACATCCAAGTTCCTCCACTCCAAAATTTTGTCTGTGACATAGTATAGCTGTTTCTGTAGTACAGCACTCTTACAATGTCAGCAGGATAAATGCTAGAAATTTTCTAGAAGTATTATGGAATGTCATCTCTCACATGTGGTTATTTCTGTGAGCAAGAATTCTGACCCTGAAAAGCAGATACCTACTTTCGGTATACTATAAATCTTCAGAACCACTGAAGATGTGTCTAACTCAACAATTGAAAACAGAGCTAACCGCTCTGATTTTCAGGCCTATCAGCCTCTGAGTCTGTATTAAAAACCTTTTAAACTGAAGATATTGGAAACTATTGTAAAACATTGTCCCTAGAAATACTCTCAACTTTTCCACTTTCAAAATGTAGGAGTAAAAATGTCATGAACAAGATTTAACCATTATGAAAAGAAAGACTTGCAAAAGCATGATTGTTTCAAACTAACTAGCAGTTAAGCGTTAGAAAGCAAAAACGTGGTCTGAGAGTGAGTTGCTTCCAATAGCTGAGGTGATATAATAGTTTGCCACCACCAAAAGGAAGAGATACCCCTCCTCTCTCTCTCTCTCTTTTCTTATCCCTCCTCCTGCCAGTTTGTATGTGTCCTGGTGCTCACGCAACAGCTCTGTGAGCTCATTGAACTAGCGTCTCGGAATACCAATCAAGCAAAAGAGGTGCAGAGTTTTCTGAGAACGAGGCTGGCACATGGAAAGAGATGAAGCCACGTGGCAGGGAAAAGGGACTGGGATCTCTCCTTTTCAGGGATGGAGAGCTGTCAGAAGTCAATTCAACCGTACCGAACTTCACCTTAAAGTACCCTCCCCACCTCAGCAACATTAGCAAGAATCCAAAATAATCTATTCCCTTATCTATGTTTTAGCATAAGAGCAGACATATTTGATACAGTATTCTGCATCATAGCCTAATACCTGCATTTTACATAGTAGTCCATATTCAATCTTATTATAAAACACCGTTGAATATTCAAGGAGCGATACACCAAATATGTAGGAATCCAATTAATACAATTTAAAACACTACCTTGAGAACTGGTTTTTATTTTCAGTTCTCAATATCTAATTTCTCTTTAGCATTTTTAGTTACCAATAGGATAATACATTATTCCAATCAAAGTTATATAAGCTCACTGTTTCCTTTTGGAAGTAGAAAAAACTTACATGTTCTTACCCAGTATATAAGAAAAAATAAAATCTGTAAAACTGAAGCTGTAACATCACATGGCAAGAAGTAACAAACTTTGTAAACTAAAAAACCACTCATGAAGTGACATTAATAATAGGTACCCGTTTCTAGCAAATTACCATTTTCTTCCAGGAGGCATACCAGCGCATGAGTGTCAAAAAAAAGCTTCCTATTTCCCAGTAAGGAAATATTCCCTTTGCTTTGCAAAGACGATGATGCAGAGATGCTTACATCTGAAAAAGAGATAAACAAAACTCAAGTTATTTTTAAGAAAGAATATGTAATCAACATGTTTGCTTTCCAGGAGTTTCCCTACTACCCCAAATATTTTTCATTTATGACAAAATATTAGATTGTGCATTGAGATTATCGCAGCTTGCTTGAAACTGAAGGGGTATCTTACTAACAAGCTCTACGCACAAGAGCTTTGAAATAGAATACAATGCTACTGCTGCACTTCTGAGATGCTCTCCAAGAATACCCAGTTCTAGAAAAATCCCACCAAGTGTCAGGGTCTTAAAATTGTTCCTTTACTGTTATCAGCATAAAATGTGGAAACTGTGAGCACTTCATAGCCTTGAGGGCTAAATCCACAGAACTCTTTCCATTCTTTGTTAACGAAGCAAACCTTCACTCGTTGCCCTTTAGACACTAAACTGCTATTAGAAGAATTATTAACACATCCCCCGAATATCAGTGTTACAGAAATCATACATTCAGGGAAATTTAATACCAGTGCATGAACTAGTGGACAGAAAGAATGTAAGATGGAACATGAGGTAAACTGTCAGGAGGCAGAACTATCTGTCCTCAAAGACATTATATTTTAAAACACTTGCGTGGGCAGAAAATATGGCTATGCCTTAGCTGTCTTACTCAAAGATCAATAAAAAGTAAGTAATTTAAGTCGGGGGCGGGAAGGGGGGAACCAGTCCTAGTAATTACCCCTACGGCCAACTCACAAAGCTGCTGCTGACAGGTCCCTGCAGGCCCCGGGCCCCCGCGCCACCGGACTCCCGGGTACCCA